CCATCACCGTGCTTGTACCTGGTAAGTGCTTAATAAATATGCATCTTTTCTTTGTGAACAAAATGAGATGTTAGCTAAAGAGCAATGTGTAATACCACGTGCTGACATCTGAATTGTGTTTCTGCAACCACATATGGATGGGTGCACAGAACTCTCTCTACTTACATCCAGGATCATTTTGGAAGTTGTGAGCATAAGTGAGGTGACATCTGGAAAGGGCACTTCGGTTGCTCTGAGAAAAGGCCTGATGAAACCATGGTACGTGAAATGAGCTCGTTAATAGAAACATAGCTTTCTCTCTCCGGTTTTATGTTCTCTCTCAGATTCCATTTGGGGCTTTTGCCCACCTGCATACATTACATAAACACACGACTGAATTAGGGTGGTCTTCCCAATGCTTAAGCCAGGTGAAGGGGAGAGAGAGAGTATACGTGAACTTCCTGTAGAGTTCCACTTTTGTGTCAAGGGTTTTACCAAGTACTGTATATACAATCATGTATTCATTCATAACAGAAGCGCACAGAATGAGTGACTGCCCCTATTTTACAGGCTAGATAACCGAATCTCCAAGAGGTTAGGCATTTGACCCCAAGTCTGTCTAACTCCAAAGCCAGTGCACATCAATACCACATTCTCCTGTCATCATGATCTTCAACTCAGCCTTTTAATCCTTGTCTATCTGTCCCTGAAATGTCACTCAGAGTGACAATCATCATGACCTATGCTATTATTATAAATAAATACCCTATTGCAAATTCCAAATTTAGCCCAAATGCTAGTGAACAGTATCATTGCTAGCTAGAGTTTCCTGGAACCTACAAGCTCTTCAAGGATTTGTGTATTCCAACAGAAAATGCGATAGTGCCCAAGTCTTTCTTGTCATTTCTGGATACCCAATGCCAATGGATTCAGGTCCTCACATATTTGCTAATGAATCTAAAAGTATACCTCCTATAGATGGGTCACTTGCACATGCATCCATGCTCATATGCACATGTGCCTCCACACACATAACTAAGAATGCACCACAGAAATAACCAAGAAGAGGTATAGTCATCTAGTCATCAATCACACTTGGGGAAACACTCAAATTATAGCATCACAAATTTTGATCACCCATCATGAAGAAAAGATCAGTTCTGTTTAATCAATTTAATTTGAAATCATATTGGAGGAATCATTTTGTAGAGTTAAACCATGTGAAGTGATCATTACCACAACACTTTACATTGCTATAACAATGTATAATTACAGATCATTTTATTCTGTAATCTTTCATCATAATTCTCATGACAACGCTATGAGTTAAAAATGCTTATTTCTAAAGTTTATAGGAGGAAATCAGGGATCTGAGACTATGAGTGACTCACTGACCATTAAGCAGCACTATCAATGCTTGACTGACCCCTTCTGATTCTGATTCTCAATCCAGGGTTTTCCTTCTCCTGATTCTAACCCCAGACCTCCCCCCTCTACCCCCTGTCTGTCTTAACTGTGACTGCTGAGTGGTCCCAAATGGGTAAGAGAGATAATTGAGTGAATTGATTTGGTCAACTGCAAAGCACCTTTCCTTTAGCACTTCCATCAAGCCATCTTTTCTCTTGTGATTTATTGGGGGATCCCATGCATTGTTTTTAAGTAATTAAGAACAATAGCAAGAATACACAGAGAGCATATCTGTGAACATACTCTGTCAGCAGACAGTAGTCTATCTCCCTCACCTCAAGAGTCTGCATTTTCTGCTGTAGGCTGATGCTCTAGCCTATTAGCGTTAGCCCCAATGTCGGCATCAGTTCCTGGAGTGAGCACACAGCTCCAGGCTGTGGTAATGACTCAGCAATCAAAACTTGAAGTTCAGTCCACCTGGTCCTCAACCACCCCCAGGGCCAGAGCCCAAGAGTTCCTTTTTGCTCTTCAATTTAGGATGCGATCTTTCTGGCTTCCTTTAAAGGTTCTCGGTAGCTGACTTTCCAGCTGTCAGCTCTGTTTGTTATGGAAGGAAAGAGCCATTCATGTGTTAAGTGCCTTGGGTCTTAAAATCACAGAAACATGCTGGAGAATGCTGGGCCTGGTTGGCTTACTTGAGCAAAGACCCACAGAAAGCCTGGCCAACTGACTGGAACTAAAAACAGAAGGAATTAGAATTACCTTTCTTCTCCCCAAATAGATTCAAGGCCACCCTTTACCAAGTCATTCTTTTCAAAATGTAGCACTGCACTTATTGGAACGTCAGCCTTTCCTTTGGCAATTCTGGCATTATCACCCCTACTGAAATGGAAAGCTCTCTCTCTCTCTCTCTCCTCCTGTCTTTTCTGAACTCACTAAGCAAGAAAACCAGTCCTATTAAACTCCAAAATACTATCACAAAACAAAGCCCGGAAACACAAAAGAGAGCCATGGATCTGGAGCCTGTGCTGACTGAAAGCTGTTTACCATTCCTCTGACCTGAGCTGATAATAAAGACGCAAAGTTACCGTCACTCACACCCCACCAGGACCCTGTGAGATACCAGGGAGATGCTTTGCACATTGCATGAGCTATAATCAGAAAATCCTGAGCTGGCGTGCACCCCACTTCTATTATTAGCCTAAAATGAGTGATAATGAAAGTGCTGCTATTTCTAGTAGATTCACTCATTACAATTATTAAATCTCAAATATACAAAAGCCAAGATGTTACCCTTCTTATTTTTTTTTGAAGGTTGTGTTGAGAATAACCTACGCAATTAAATTTTACCCATACCACAAGTCTAAATATGCTTACCCTGGATGAGAATGTGAATGGAAGGAGGAACAGTCAAAATGAAAAAGCCTGGATAAAAAGAGGCACAGATTTGCCAACTTCCAGAGCAACATTTTCAAAAGGCTACTCTTTATTCAGAATAGTCCTAACACAAAAAGAGATGATGTAAAATACTGTCCTCTGAGCTTGCTACTCGTTATCAGAGGCTGCAGGTTAATGAACAGCTGACCAACAGAAGGAATGGTGAATGTCCAGGCAGAGTCTGGGAACATCCAGAACCTTACAGAACCCACTGGCACTTGGAAGATGTGGGCACCGCACTCTCCTTAGAACAGTAAACTTTGTGTTTCTTGTTTCTATATTACATTCGTCCTCAGGTTTCATGAGTACTGGGTTGATTTCCTTCACAAGGAAAATGAAATTTGATTTGGGGTTTCTTGAATGTTCAAATCATTTAAAAATAAAATAAAATAAAAAGCAAAAAAACAATGCCCCTTTCTTGACAAGGGAAAGTGTAACCGGAATCTATGAGTAGCAGATGAAAATATCCTGAGCAGAAATAGTTGACAAGAAAGATACGTCCTAAATTATACTGACGGGAGGGTTTTCCCATGGTAGGTCCACCAGGAGCACCGTGTGAAGTACCAGCCACAGATTGGAAGGGGGCATGCGCTAACAGCTGCCCACCTTTACCTGTTTCTCTAACACCATTCTGCCAAAAAATTAAATAGAGAAAAGGCATAGCCCATGTTAAATGCCAGAGTATAAGCTCATCTTTAAGGTTTTTGTCTTTTTAGTTCCAGACTTTTTCTAACCCTTGTTAGAAAAAAGAAGTAGTAGTAATGTTTAAGTATGATGTTTGACATCTCTCAGCTTGGATGTTCTCATAAAGCTTTAACCCAGTCAGCTGTCTCTGACTAAATCTCTTATGTTACAATTTGCTCCATCTCTCTATCTATACACACAACCTCAATACTTGGAGACAAACAGCTCTCCATGCTCTCCTCTGCCTAGTTAACTAGCAACCTGTCATCTCTTCCATGGATATGTCCACAGTAACAGTTCTGAGTTGACTAATATCCCTTTAAACGTCGCCGTTCCTTTTAGGATAAACCATCCATGTGCATTGGAAAACAGCCCACAAATGCCATCCACACTGACTGAGGAAAGGTCTTACTTCCACTGGGGGTCTTGGCATTTTAGAAATATATTTACAAGTGGTCTCACTTCTCGGGAGAGGCTAAGGAATGCCAATGCAGAGAGATAAAAATTCAGATACAGGAACACAGATGCTATCACAATGAAATGGTATTTTGCTTTAATTAAATGACCTCGGGATGGAAGCAGGTAAAGTACTGTCTACATTTCACTTTGAAGGAAAGGGAAAGAAATAAAAAGCACAGCCAACCACCAGGAAATGCTAAAGAGAGAGTTAGGCAAGCCATTCGACTCAAGCCACCTGAATTCCTGATCTGCCTGCTTGTTTTTACAGCCAAGAGTAGACAATTAAGAGCAATTTGCAGCCACACTCCCCTCTTGAGAGACCACGTAGGGTAAGGGGATGTTTCAACATGAGAGATGCTAGTCTGCATCAGGGGGCTCCACCATCAGAGAGGTAAATGAGAGGCCATAGCAAGGGAATCAGCCCCAAAAGGAGAGGTTCGCAATACTAAACAGCTCCCACTGTGTTCTCATTTGCTCCAATTAGAAGCTGCAGAAGCAGCCTCTCTGTATCCCACACACTCGCTACTCTCCAGAGCGGACTGAACGATTCAAGAAAATAAATAAATAAATAAGTGTTATGGAAAAAAAAAGTCTACTATTAAGTTATCGTAAAAGTCCAGATTACACCCCCTGTCCCCACCCTCACACACTTTTGCCTCTAACTCAGAGCCTGTGCAGTAACCTTTCTGATTTTTCTTTTTTCCTCTCTCAAATGGAAAGAGTATTTCAAGGAGTGAAAAGGCTGGAATTAGTTATTTCTAGATTCCATATATGCAGAATTCTCTGTGAAAACGTTAGATAAATAAGAGGTATAAACATGGGAGGAAGGATGGGGTGGGGGGAAGGATTGGTTATACAAATGGAAATTATCTCCTTGGCATGAAAATAGCCCCGAAATGCCACACACTGAGTTCTTCTGGGCATTACCATCTCTAAAGATGCGCTTGTAAACTGCATATGGGTTTCTGAAAACAAACAGAAAAGCACAAGCAACGCAAGGAAGCAGGGACTGAGCTCCCAGTCCCGCGCCTTACCTTCTGTGTGGACCCTCAAAGTTCACCAAGGAAATGTTAGAATCCTTTAGCTTGTCTTGCGCGTCTCTCCTTCTTCTTTTAAAGTCACATAGGAAAAAAATAATCAGTTCTCAAAGGTTCCATTTATCTAATCGTCCAGCACCAGCAAAAACGTCCAAGAGACTCCGCCAAAAAGTAAGCCAAAAACTCATCAAAGGCAAAAAGAAGGGGGAAGTGGAGAAGAAAAAGGGGTGGTGAAAGCTGGGTGGGGGGCAGAAGGGAGGGTACAGACTACGAGCCCAAGTACCCAGAGGATATTTTCACGCGTTGAAGTCTACTGTATGATACACCTGCTTTGGTTGTCACACACACACACACTCACTCGCGGACACTCACACATTCTCTTTCACG